TTCTCAACCCCCTGCCTCTTCCCTCACCTGTAGTCTTTTGTCTTCCAAACATTAGTACCTAAAAAGTTCTGGTAAAATTGTGGTCTCAGAGGGAGAAAACCAACCACATAACTTTATTGCTCACATATTTGGGTTCTTTTCTCTTTGCTATCTAGGCCATTTTATGCAGTTTTGGATCTAAGCAGATGCAGTTGTTAAGCTTATCATAGCACAGACACAGAAGGGTGGACACATTTAATAGAAATAAGAACAGACAGACACAGAAGGATGGACACATTTAATAGAAATAAGAACAGAGTAACTGACCGCAGCAGTAACAAACTGAGATAGGCCTCATCTAAATTCTTCTTTTTTTAAAAAAAAGGACAGAAGAAAGATACCATTGCTAATATCCAGTTTATAAATCAGAACTGAGCCACAGAAAGACTAATATGACTAATAATATGAATAGTCTAGTAGAACATGGATAGAACTAATAATATGAAGTAGTGCAGTGCAAGAGGAGCAGATGCACAGAACAAAACAGTGCTGGCAACCCAAGCTCCAAATGTATTTTGGTGCTTTACTTTGGGCTATCTTATCTCTGATTCTGTGGATTGAACATGGTTAGCATATAAAGAGCATTCAGTTTGCTCAAGGAGTTGTTCTTCCACTTCAGCCTCGCCTGAAAGGAATTGATCTGCATGATCCAAGATGACCCTGTGATGCAAATCAAAGCACACTAGATGGGGAGAACTGACAGATGTGCTTCAAGAACGGGTGTGTACACTCTTTATCCAAACTAACAAGCAGATGCTCACTCTGCACCAGTGCACTGCAATTCATACAGAAGAGAAAATAAGGGGAAAAACTTTAAAAATTTAAACTACTTCATATTATAAATCTCCTTTCACTATGGCTTCTTAAAGCCAAAATATGTGGCCAAGTAAAGTAGATGACAAGTTTAACAGATAGCAGCATTGTATTTTTAATGCATTTACAAGTGACAAAATAAGAATATAATTTTTGAAGCTACCCATCTTAATGTAAGAATAGATAAAAATAAAACTAAGGATTCTGTTATATAATATGTATTTTTATTGACTTTGCAGAGAAATTATTAGTCTAATCTAATAGGGAAAGTCATAAATACATTATGTGATTTGAGACACTGAATTTTACCACTAAACAAATATCTGGTAGCAAAACATTGAAGTATATTGCTCAGTAGTAGGACAGACATTCTATTTGAAGTATCAGCCTCTGCAACTATTTAAAACTAAGGTGTCAACTATAAATAAATTCTACAGTTTGTTTTATGCCACATGCAGAATCTTGTATCTGAAAACAACTGAGTCTGCAAGCACTATCATCTCCAGGTTTCAATCCAGCCACCACGCACAGGTTTGCAGAATTCTTTGGATATGCCCCCTGATGAGTATGTTTCCAGCTTGTATAATGGGAATTTACTCTAAAACAATTTTGCACAAATGTTAACATTCAGGGATTAACATGTAGTTAGTATGCTTATGTTATTTATAAGCATCAAATTTCCTTATCTTGTCTCCTGTTACACCTTTCAGTGTAGATGCCCTCTGGAGAAGAAGAAACAATCTTCCTTCTCTCTAGATCTGGTGCTTTCACAGTCAGAAGGCATAAATTTAATCCTGGATTAAGAATGTGTTTCAAAGACAATGTGGTGGGCAAAATTCTTTGATGAAAATTAAAAAAACGGAAGACAACTTCATACATTACCCATGTATTTTTATTATTGATGTAGCAACCTGTTACGCTGAAAAACTTCTGGGTATGCAGTATGGGTCAGTAAGCGTCAACTATGAGCCCAGGCTTTCAGATTTGACATGGACACAGAGTTTTATGTTAGCAAATTCCATTTCAACGCTAGGGTCAAATTGTGACACTTAAAAGTCTACAGTTCAAAGAGAGCTAGCAAGAATGAATCTTAAAACCATTAAGGAGCCAAATCTTTATTACTGCATTCCCTACTTCATTTCTGGAAACTTGGAATTTATTCAGAGAGCCCTAAAGTCTTCAAAGACAAAAATTAAGAACATAATTAGACACGAAGTAAAACAGCTAATTAGAACTACATGGAGCACAGGAGAGGATTAGCTATTTCTGTTTTTAAAAGTAGCATTTCACACTCTCCAGATATTTTTGTCCTTTTAGACTAAGATTTCTTTGGTCAACAAATGTTTAGGTAAACATTTTTGTACAGAGTCCAGAAAAATGGAAGTCTAAACCCAGTTAGAGTATTTGTCCAACATCTTTAATACTATTATCTGATAGTCAGAAACCTCAAACTGTCCACTTCTAAAATGTTTAGAAATTAATGTGTGTATTCATAATAAGAAGTCAACCCATTTCACTTGTAACCTCAAGCTATTTAAGATGAAGAGAAAATCTCATGTTAGAAAAGTTAACTTTCTACATTTTCTAATCACAGTGGATTATGTAAAGGATAATCACAGTTCCAAATTAGGATACTGTGGTGTGCTGGTTTCAGCTGGGATAGAGTTAATTTTCTTCACAGTAGCTGGCATGGGACTACCTTTTGGATTTGTGCTGGAAACAGTGTTGATAACACAGTGATGTTTTAGTTACTGCCCAGCAGTGCTTACACAGAGTCAAGGCCTTTTCTGCTTCTCACACCACCCCACCAGCAGTGAGGGTGCACAAGAAGTTGGGAAGGGACACAGCTGGGACAGCTGACCCCAACTGACCAAAGGGATATTCTGTACCATATGACATTATGCTCAGCATATACAGCTGAGGAAGAAGAAGGAACGGGGTGACATTCGGAGTGATGGTGTTTGTCTTCCCAAGTAACTGTAACACGTGATGGAGTCCTGCTTTCCTGGAGATGAATGAACAACTGCCTGACCATGGGAAATAGTGAATGAATTCCTTGTATTGCTTTGCTTTTGTGCATGGCTTTTTCTTTACCTCTTAAACTGTCTTTATCTCAACCAATGTGTTTTCTCAGTTTTACTCTTCTGATTCTCTCTGCCATCCCACCATGGAGGAGCAAGAGAGCAGCTGTGTGGTACTTCATTGCTGGCTGGGGTTAAACCACAACATGTAGGTCCCTGTTTTGATCAGACTGTCAGGTCCTACACAAGACAAAGGTCTCCTAAAGTTGGAGTAATCAGTTAGGGGAACACTTTCAACCCATGGCTTACTGTATGTACAAATCTCATACTAACACATAAAAGTAGTTCAAATAAAAATGTGTCTTCTTCAGCCACACAGAAGCTATACCAAGCTGTTCTCATATAAAATAGGTCATATACTTTGTAAGTAGGAAAAAGGGCAGACAGAATTTGCATCTCTTTGTTTACAATAACATACTTTGGTTTTCTGATTCTGTGCCCTGTAGGAATATGGTTTTGATTTTGCTATTAATCAGTGCAGCCAACATATTTCTGTCAAACTGTTCAGATATTGTGAAATATAAAGGCAGTTGAAGATTAATGTCTCTCAATTATATTCCAATTCTGTATCTTTGGGCTTTAAAATCAATCATATTTGTTAACCACAGGGTGCAAGCATTGTGCTTGATAAATTAAACTCCAAGATGATTGAAGATGCAGTTGATGGTCAGTGGAAAGTTACATAACTTGTTTCCAGAATGCGTTATTTCAAGATAATGCTTTTTATCCACACTGTTGAATTCTTATGAAGTTTTCTGAATTCCAGTGGACATTCACTCACAGAATAAAATCTGAAAAAATATGTGGCTTCTTAATACTCTTAAAACTGTTCCAGTTGCACATCAGTTCATCTGTCAGGATGTTATTAGTTTAACAATATGAATGGACTATTAAGTGCCATGTTCAATTTTATTTTCAAAAGGAAACACAAAAATATATCCAGTCTCAACATTTCAAAGAGAAGCCTCCTAAAAATGCTTCAGAACTATTTTGTCCTAACAGTACAGTTACAGCAAGAGTCCAAAATTTGACTCAGTTTTCCTGAGGGGACAACAACAAGAACAATTAAAGTTTTCTACAGACATGTGATGCAAATTATGCAAAATTTCAAGCCAGGAGCCACACTAAAAAATATTGATTGGCACTGTGCCCAGCAGGCACCACATGCCAACTGGAGCAGGATATAGTCCAGCTTCCTATGATGAGTTACCATGTGCCAAGAATTTGGAGTAAGGGCAAAATTATGCTCTATGACTTTCTTTTATTGTATCAGCAGTAATTCCAAACAATAGCCTTAATATGAAAGAGAAAACAAAAGGTCTTGTGACTGCACCTCTTTTTATACTATACAAAATTAACCTTAATCAGTAATCTCAACTAAATATATTTATATCATATACTTCATGAGCTGAGATTAGTATTAGATGCATTTTGTTTCACAGACAAAGCAAAAAGCCTTTCTTTTGTACTGCAAACTACATTTTGAAATGCAAATTACCACAAACTTGAAAAATATATTTTATCATGGAAATGTCAAGAACACGAGCTATGGCCAAACCTCCAGCAATCCGCCAATAAAATCTCTAACCTTCACACATGATAGAAGCCAGTATTTCAAAACTAGCCACAACAGTAAATTCCTTTTGTTCTGGATTTGAAGCTGACCAGAAAACCTGTGTCATAGTCCTGATGAGTCACCTAGAAAGACCTAGAAGAAAGTTCAATAGCTTTCCTACTCAGTTGTTTTGAAAGGATGTGTTTACAGTGAACTCAACCCCAGCCCAGTTTCAAAGACCTATACAACAAACTAGCAATCATCTATCTCTTAGCAAACAGCAAGAAAAACATTGTGCCAGCAATGCAGGACTGAAGATTTGGTTGTTCATGGATCTTTCAGGGAAAATAAAGAACTGCTACATACAAATAATAAATAATATGAAAGTATAACAAGACCTCAGTTTTGCACATTAAGCTGAATCCTAGAAACATGCATAAAAAGACTACTTTGTGTACAATATGAGTAGCTCCTATAGTTTAGGAGGAAAATAAGCAAAAAACATTACTTACACATTTGTCATCTGATCCACTGGCTATAAACCGTCCACAAGGAGATACTGCAATTCCACATGGATGACAGCAGCTATGGTGCCCTTCAAAACGACGTTCACACCTTCAGAGAAATTTCAGTCTTATTAACACCAACTTAAAACTAGCTCTTTTACTGCCATTTTCATTAAATCCTGATGGAGTCTCAATTGTTTTTCTTAGTCTACAAATTTACTAAGACAAGTCAACACATGAAAGTTTAAATAGCTCTGCAGTAGGAATTTGACAAAACTGAAAGACATTAAAGAATATTAATGTCTAAAAATGAAATGAACACACTAAACTGCCCCAGGACCATGCCTAAAACCATGCCTTGGCCTTGTTTAGTTTAAAAAGATAGAAAAATCATTAGTGAACATTAGAAATGAGGAGCTGTGATGCCTACCATTAAGCTACCCCTAGTTAGCCATCTCAGCAGAGAAAGCCAAACTCTCCTGCGTTAAGAAGAGGGTGTTGTGAAAACCAGTCTGCTCTGTGAAGCTTTAGAAAGCTCCCTCAAGTTTGATATTAAATTTGATATAAATTAAGATCGATTATATGGAATTGTAACATAAAAATTATTGCTTGGGGTTTTTTTATAACCAAATCTGGATATTTTAATATGCATTGCTCTGTTTACATTCCTACTCCATGCACTAATCTATTGTATCTTGTAAATTCAAGAAAGACAATATGCAAATGACATTCCAAACTGATAAATCTAGCTATTTACCTGACAACTATTGATAACTTCTTATGTATCTGTGTCAATACAGTCTAAAGGAAGGAATTCATTTAAATGCAATGCAAAGGATTAATTTCCTACTTTTCATGTAAATATTGCAAGATAGCATTTTGGAGAAAGTTTCTGATAGCTGAGCACACTTGGCCCATTTAAAAATGATAATGTTTTCAATGAGATGAAGATTAATATCCATCTAAAAAGAATTGATGGTTGTAAAGAATTGTGATAGCTTTGTAGTCACTACAAGACTAAGGAAAAATGTAGTATTTAAGAGCTGCTTCCATGTTAAAGACATTTTAATGCAAGTTTCAAACCCATTCAGAATTATCATTTACCTATGTATACCTCATTTCAGAACTTTATTTTTATAACCACAAGGTATAATTTCAAAACAGACTTATAACAATCTATATTATTTTGCCTTTGTTATGAATGCTATCAATCTGCCCTTCTTCTTACAAAACAAATTCATATACTTTGCCATAATACAGCTGTCACCTTTTTTTTTTTTTTTCTCTTTTTTTTTTTTTTTTTTTTTTTTTTTTTTTTTTTTTTCAACTCCTGCCAGCATCTGTGATATACACTTTTTCCTGGCCAGTGAAATCACAGATGCTATATTAATTCAATTGACTGAATCAATGTGCAGAAATCTCTAAAATTTTATACCACATCATTCTGTTTTAGACACGCATGTATGTGTAACAATGTACTGAACGCCAAGCTGATTTTGTTCACCAAGGTGAAACAGGCATATTTAAATAAAATCATTACTTCTTGGCTGATCCAATGGCTATCACTTAGTAAAGTATCAAACAAGACACTTCTGGATGTATTAAAAACCATCATTTTACAAAGCCTAACTCTGAACTTTCACAGATAGTACATATTTGGCTGAATTTCTGTATAACTAAACTAATTATATCAATGGGCATTTTGAGAATCCAGTTACCAGACCTTTCACCTCAGGCTAGTTCTACCCTAAAACTGTTGTAAATAACCCAATTTAAGAGCACACTGCAGTTCAAAAAGATGTAACTTATAAAGACAGTCAATCACTGTATCTAAGATGTAAAAAGATTCTTCAACTTCAGTTTGCACATAGCTCTTGCATGAATATTCAGAAACTTTCAATAACGAATGGTTGCATTTGGGCCATCAAATAACCTGCCTTTACTATTGACAGTGAAGGAGAATATTAGCTACCTTGGTCTCCTCTCAAATGCAGCATTCTAACATATACGACTCCAAGCTTAGGCAGTGGAGGATAAGTCATAGAATATGTATTTGATTTATACTTTCAAATAACTTTACTTTTTGGAAACTAACTTAAAAGAAAACATAAAGGGTAGTGCATGTATCCCATACCACAGCTTTCACAGGCTCATATAATGCCTGAAGTTGGAAGGCACCTCTGGAGGTCATCTTGTCCAGCCTCCCTGCTCACCTAGATTCAAATGCTAAAGACTGTATCTGGATGGGTTTTGAATATCATCTCCAAGGTGAGAAACTCCACAGCCTTTCTGGGCAACCTGTGACAGTTCTCAGTCACTGGGAATGCTTTCCAGAATTAGTTGTTCCATCACCTTGGTGAGGCTGACCAGTCTATAGTTCCCTGGGATCTCCTTCTTGACCTTTTTTGAAGATAGGCGTGACATTTACTTTCCTTTAGTCACTGACATCAGGCACTAATGAGCTGAAGGCAGGCTTTAAAGCAGACAGAGCTAGGCTCCTTCCAGTGGTGCCCAGTGACAGGACAAGAGGCAACAGGCAAAAACTGAAATACCAGAGGCTCTGTCTGAACATCAGGAGACACTTCTTTACTGTGAGGGTGACTGAGCACTGGCACCGGCTACCCAGAGAGGTTGTAGAATCTCCTTCCTTGGAGATATTCAAAAGCCATCTGGACATGGTTGTGGACAACCAGGTGTAGGTGACCCTGGTTGAGCAGAGAGTTAGACAAGATGACCTCCAAAGGTGCCTTCCAACCACCACCATTATGTCATTCTGTGATTAAGCACCAAAGGCATTTCTGTAACTTTGGGCAAGTCTTTCTTTCAAATATCTTAGACATGGAAAGAAAAATGAAGCCTTATGTGTTTCATCTATCTGCTATTCCCCTTCATGGTCAGATGTGGCAACATTTTGCCCTCATTGTGTAGAGTAGATATGTCCCACAGCTCAGCCTCGGTCACATTTTTTCTTGTCTCTGCCAGAGTCCGGGTTGCACTTTTTATGAATTTCAAAGTTCCCTCAAAAATACATTCCTTCACAGTGCCTTTTCTCATTGTTACATATGGAAAATGTTCATAAAAATGTTTGAAGAAAAAGTCTCTTTTTAATATTATACTTGTAAGATACAACAACATCCTGTGACAGGAATTTCCTCATGGGAAAAATAAACAAAATTCCTACATCCTCTGTCCCTCCTGAATATGCCTCCAGGATCACCATCCTTCCTTAAGTAGAGCACTGGCCATCAGTACTAGCGCTCAGTTTTTAAGACCCCATTCTCAGGACCTGTAATAGCTAACTTCCTCAATTAGTTGTCTCTTCTTCACAGAAGAGTCTCCAAATAAATCACTGGAAACAACTTTTTTTCAAAAGAATTTGACTTCTCTGCATCTGTGACCAATTCAGTTACTCCAGCTATAAATGGATGGATAAGAACTAACAGGATTCCACGACTATCACTGATCTTTTCTCTGCTATACCACAGCAATATAAAGCAATGTCTGAGTCATAGGACAGTGCCACTTTCCCTTGTGCTCATACAGCCACAGTAATAAGTAACATCCTGGATTTTATTTTCTTGTTTTCCTGTTCAACTTTTCCATTATATTCAGGATGTACGTTACAAGTATAACTACTTTCCCCACCCCCTCAAAATCCTACTTTAAAAAGACATTTTAAAAAAATGATTCCAATTAAACTTTCCACAGAATACACCAGAAAATTTGTTATGCAATCTATTAATTCCAGATCTCTCCAGGTATCACAGCAATGGAAAAAAGTGGATAAAAAAATCCTAGAATAAATAGATACTATGTGTACAATTTTAGTTTATTCTAGGAGTTCTTTTATTTCAGGCTTTTTTTTTTTTCCCTCCTGTTTTTTTTAAAGTAGCAACAGGTGGTGATCAAACTTATTTTAGATATTGCAAGCTTTACGTGGCCAGCTGGCATGCTGTCCAGCCTCCTAAGAATGCTTCTCTGGTCAGAAATTTTCAAGGGTTACCATGACAAACATCTGGTAATTGCATGGGACAGCAAAAAGCCAAGTTTTTCCTATGTTCTCCATTGTACAGCTTTTAGTCTACATTCCAAAATACATATCTTTTTATGTCATAAACAACTTGCAGAATATTAGAAAAAAATGTAACATGTTTTCCATCTTTGCAAGAGAAAGATAATAGAATGGTGCATCTCTTCATAAATCAGGGAATACTCTCACAAATAAGCCTATTTCATTCCACTTGATATATTTAAAAAAATCTGGACTGCAAACTAAAGTCTTCTTTTATTTAACCACTTTTCCTTGTGTTCTAATACTTTGTCCCAGTGCTCTGGTATTTCTTCAGAGACCCTTCAGTACCAGTGGATCCACTGAGGCTCTATAAAATCTGTGTATAACTTGACAGTGGTAGTAGCTACCTTAGATATTCTGGACACATGGGTTTCATTTTAAACACACATCAAACCCTTCACATAGGAGCTCAGCATGTTTTCACCAACACCATCCAGCAGGGACCACATGTTCCCCATCCTGTATACTTTCATGCATCCCCAGTCCCAGACTTGGAGGAACTCCAGCCACTGCTTTATCCCTTTTTCCCTCAGAATCCAGATAACAAGACTCAAATCTCCGGGGGGGGGGAAAGAGAGATGGCAAATCATGGGACCCTCACATTCAGAAGGGACCAAAATTAATCAAACTCTGAATATGTGTATATGTGTATCTTGCTCAGGATGATGTTGAGAAGCTAGTTCACAATGAAGATGCAAATTGAAAAGTATCTGAAAATTGAAGTGCCATTCATTCAAACTGCATGTCTAACTCTAAGACTCTCAAAGTGTAATTGTTAGAAAATGTATGGGATGAGTTCCATGTGGCTGCAGGAATTCTATTAAATGTGTTGCCAAGGGAGCTTATGATCTAGTTGCACAGGATCATACTAGTTGGAGAGTTTACCCTAATGTCTAAAACTATCTTTATACAATTGGCAAATCTTTTCAGGGGCTGAATGAGGGTGAAACTGATTTTCCCTGGGATCATGCATCAAAGCACTGTCATGCATCTGAGTACTCTGCAGAATAAATTCAGTATGTCCAAGTAGTCCCGTA